CCCTCCCCCCCCCCCCCCCCCCCTCCCTCCCTCCCGCCCCAACCCTCTCCGTCGCCCCCCTCTCCTCACGCTTGCTGTTCGTTCGCCTGCGCCCACGCGCTTGGCCTCGCTTTCGCCGCTTGCTTTGGGTGGAGAGCAGGACTTCCAAAGCGCGCTCTGCGAGGTTCACCCCAAGTTCGGTGCCGACAGCCAGGAGCTGGAGACGCTGTACGCGAACGGCATCGTGCCCTACAGCCAGGAGTTCGACGAGGTTCAAGTCACGCTAGGGAGGCTCATCGAGCAGACGAGACTCAGCGAGAGAACTCCCATCATGTCGGTGAGGCTGGCGGGAAGGGTTTTGGAGCGCGCGCGGGGGGGGGAAGGGGATGGGTTTGGTCGTATGGTGCGGTGCAACGTGGTGGCAAGGGTGTGTGGGATGGGGTGGAGCTGACCGAGAGAAAAGCGCGTATTTGAGAGGTGGAAACTTTCGGCGGACGTGTATACTCTCTTTTGTGGCTTGATTGTTGTACGTACTTCTCGCACACTCGCCGGGATTCGGTGCCCAAGCCAAGCTACAAAGGCCTCTTTACCTTGTGGATGCTGCATGTTCTTGCAATGTCTTGTGGCCGTGCAGCCTGTACGCGTTTGTAGTGTTCTCCGCAAGTGGCGATCGGGTGTGCTTGTTTAGAGGATACACTTGACTCGCTTACGCTGCCGTTTACTCTTGGTTTTTGCCAGGTTTTGCTGCAGGGAGAGGCGTTCAGCGGTAAGACGGCGTTGATGGCGCACGCGGCGGTCACCTCCGGCTTCCCCTTCATCAGAAAGATTGCGGCCGATGAGCTTATCGGCATGGGAGAGGCAAGTGGTGCTGATAAGTCTGATGGCGTGGTGATGTGATGTGATGTGATGTGACGTGACTTTGCCGTATTTGTTCTGGTCTTTTGGTCTATGGCCTACGATGTTTGCGAAATGACCAGCGAAAGGAAGGCGTTCCTCATCTATCTGTTAGATCTTGTGAATGGGCCGTCTACGCCTGTGCCGCCCCCCATCCGCCGCTCTAGTGTGTGTGGCACCCCCCCTCCCCCCCCCCCCTCTCTCCCGGAGGTGACTCCGTAGTTCCTGTAGCGAAGGCGTGGCACGGGTAACTTCCCGCGGTTCCATCGAAAGTTCTGGTGTCCATCTGCAGGAATAGCTCCTGCTCGAATCTAGTGTTGTTTGAGCAGCGGCGACAACAGCAGCAGCAGCAGCAGCAGCAGCAGCAGCAGTAGCAGGTGCCGCCAGAATAGAGCTGGATAGCACGGGAACCGGTTCTTGCTCGCTCGAAAAAGTAAACCAGTTACCGAGATTGCGCACACGAACAGGAAAACTGTCCCGACCTGGGCATAGTCGGTCGAGATTCTCTGTCCTCCTGCCCCCCCCCCACGGCGTGCTCCTGGTGGCCATCGTCGTGGCGTATTGTTTTTTCGGTGCTTCACCACGTGTCGGCCTTGACGCGAAGGAAGCGGAGCGTTGCGTGTCGGCTCTGCAGCAGCTGGAATGAATGGAACGAATCGAAAGCTAACGTTGTCGTGCTTCCCTCCACCGCAGGTGTCGAAGGCCGGGTACATCTCCAGGGTGTTCCTCGACAGTTACAAGTCTCCGCTGTCGATCATTCTCATCGACGACTTGGAGAGAGTGATCGACTTCGTTCGCACGGGCCCACGGTTCTCTAACACGGTCCTGCAGACTCTCCTGGTTTTGCTGAAGAAGGTGGGTGGGGGAGCGGAGGCGGCGCCGAAGGGGGGGGGGGGGGGTGCGTGCCCGTCTATGTAGATGTAGGTAGACGTTACTTGGCGAAGGAAGATGGCATGCGTTGGTGTCACGAGCTACGGTAACTCGCCAACAGGCTAAAAACCGTTTCCAATCACGGAGCTTCGTGTTTGGTTGCCCTATTCACGTCGTCGCCTGTGAACATCTAGAGTCTGTGAGATGTCTTGCACCGTGTGGGCGGTGGGCGGGCTTCTCCTTCCCTCCCTCCCTCCCTCCCTCCCTCCCCCCCTCCATCGGCATGTCCACACGCCACGTCGTCCCTCCCTCACCCTGCTTTCCCCCGTCTTTGGTATCCTCCGCGCAGCCCCCACCACAAGGACACCGGCTTCTGGTGATGGCAACCACGGCCGTACCCTACCTCTTGGAAGAACTGATGCTGGTGCAGGCTTTCATGGTGTCGCTGCACGTGCCGCAGCTGCAGGGAGGGGGCAGTGTCAAGACCGTTCTGAGAAAACTCGTGCCCATGTCCCAGGTAAGGAGGAAGGGTTTTGCTCTGTTCGGACACGCGGCGGGCGGCGCGGCGCCAAAGTAGCGAGGCGGGAGGCGCGAGCACCTGCACACGATAATAGCCGGCCTAGGTCTAGAGACCGGCGGGGGGGTCTTGGTACTTTGGTATCCCTTTTTGGGGGGGTTCGATTCTGTTCCAATGGGTTTATCTTTTTGTTTTTTGTCTTCTCTCGGGTGGATGCCCGCTTGTGCCTCGAGAAAACGTTCGTGCGACCAGAAGCTTGTGCGCATTGCGTGTGGGCAAACGGCGTTGGTCTGTTGCTTTTGAAGCTACAAGTATCTTCTTGCGCGCGCGCGCGTGGGCGGGCGTCTTTTTCTCTTGGCAATCGCGTCAACAACACGTACATCACCACCACCACCACCACCAGCTGTATTCCGAGGGTACGAGGGCCAGCTACAGTAGCTGCTTGTGCGTGCCTGCTTCGTCGCTCCGGCGCGGCGCAATGGACGATAAGCAAGCACACAGCGTTTCCTCCACCAGGAGTCGTTGCCCTTCTCGTCTTGTTGTCCTCCGCGTCAACCCTTCTCTCCCACGCGTGCAAAAACCCGAACCGGTTTCGGGCGGACTACTATTTTACAACCCCCCCGGGCGACCGATGTGGTCAATGGTCTAACCGCTAAGGCATGCAAAACATAAGAGTACCCCCCCCCCCCCCGGGGCGACCGATCGACATTCATCCGACAACTCACAACAGGCGGACATGGACAACATCGCGGCGGTGATCACGAACCCTATCGGCATCAAGCAGCTGCTCATGGTGACGGAGATGGCGAGGACCGATGAGGAGACCGTGTCGTGCGAGCGGTTCCTGGAGTGCCTGCACACGAGCGGGTACTCGGTGGACTCGTACGCCGCCGCGCCACAGAGCTGAGGAGAGCACCTGTTTGTCCTGTTTGCTCCGACTTTCGTTAGGTTCGCTAGTCCACGATTGGCCAGGAAAGTGCCTGTTGGGGACGCTACGGTTTGAGAATCGTCATGAGTGAAATGGTGAATTTTGGGGCATGTTCACCGACTGCCTGACCTCTGTCTTATCCAGCGTGTATGTATTGAGGCACAGAGCCATCCGGATCTCGTCGAGACGGCGGCGGAATGGTGTACTTTGATCGTCGAGGGGCAATGTCATTGGATACGACACGAATGCCTGGTTACCATCACTGGACAGCAATACTCGGGTTGTTTGCAACATTCTCAACTACTGTTGTCGCTTCTCGAGTTTCGGGGGATTTGCTCAACTTTCGTGCGGGGCTGGCGGTATGTTGTCATACAGCTACTGTAAGAACATTTGGGCGAATCAATCGTCGGCGTTGTTCTACTTTGTTGAAATGCATGTTTACAGGCAGCGTGGCGTGGGTACCAGACATCCAACCCTGTCGTCTGAAGCGATTGCATGGTGCTTGCTGTTAGAGGTCAGGCACGGTTCTACGAGAATGAAGCTCCCTCATTGTGTCGCGAGTAGGCCAGCAGGGCTATCCACTGTCTCTCACGCAATCTGACAAAAGCTTGCTGTACTGTATGCATTCCGAAAAAGAACAGACACGCTATAAGGGCCCAGCTCGGTGTTGGCTGTATCGGTTGTGCCTTTCTTTTGAAGGGGGTGGGGGAGAGGGCATGCTTCGGCATGGACCGTAACCCTGGATCATTACGATTTTTTTGCACCGCTGTAAAAAATGGTAATCGTGTTCATGAACAATAGTTTTAATCTATTCCACAGACAAGAACCCGGTATAAATTAGGAATTCATCCACTACATTGCTGTGTTTTATCGTGACCAACCTGTGCTGCATTTCGAAACCCGCCACGTCGTTCTTCGTTTTCTGCCGATTTTCCGTGTGTGAGGCCGAACCTGATCTCCAAGTCCATGCACCGCAACAACAGCGACCAGCAACCTGTCCTGCTGGTGCCCTGCTATCTGTCGTGATTTTTTCTCGCTCTCCACGAACTCGAAGTCAAAGGGGGTTTCACACAGACTAGACTATTGCATCTATGCATACACGCGGCTGGTGCGTCATGATTTGTACCGAAAGGTGCATGTGGACTGGTGCTGCAGGACTTGTAGTCAACGATATTTTGGGGATGACCAAATAAATGCTGAAGAGCAAAAAAAAACGAGCGCGTGCAAGCAACATCTTCCCCGGACTCGACAGTGTTGCACACCCTCCTCGCAGTTACAACGAGAGAGCGATTATGCGAGCAGGGTGATTTCAAACACATTTTCTAGAAAGCACGCGCATGGGTCTGTCTGCGTCGGCGGCAATGGCGCTGGCTCCAATCAGGCTCCAAAGATTTGTTGCAACCCCCAACCCCAGACCGTGAAACGCCTTCCTTTCCTGCAGCCAAAAACTCGGCGAAAACGTGCATAGTCTCGCCGCACTTGTGCGAAGCGAGCAGTCACCACACACGTCGCTGCCTCGAGCGCAAGCTAGCGAGCCAGCAAGCCCAACCGCCCCTCATGCCCACATGCGGCGAGTACACCACGCGGGCCCAGCCGCGGCGGCGGGCCGAGATGGCAGCTCAGGAGCCGATCTTCCTCAGGAAGACGTTCGAGATGGTGTCCGCGTGCAGCAAGAGCGACGGTGAAAATCTGGCGTGCTGGAGCCCTACCGGGGAGACCTTTATCGTCAAGCACCCGGACGCCTTCTCCAGTGTCGTCATCCCAAAGTTTTTCAAGCGTGAGTGTGCGGCAGCTGTTGCTAATGATCTACCCGCTGATCCGGCTCTCGGCGTTCGTGGCGTAATTTGAAATCGAGGCAGCATGCATACGCAGCGCAAAATAAAACTGCCCTGTGAGTTTTGGCTCGCCGATATTGTAGTGTACCGGGCCACGCCGCCCGCGGTTGGGTTGTGTCACGTAAAAGAACATGTGCAGCAGCACAGGAGTTTTGCTGCCGTAAGGCTTTGCGCGGACTTCGTGACCGGAGTAGAGACGCCGCCCTTTTCTCTTCTTAGCAAGCAGCACGGCGCACTAGAGGTCATATGCATACCCCGCAGCACCAGCACCAGTCTGAAATGCTGGCGGACGAATTGTTAACCCGTCCTTGTGCCAGCGTGTCTGTGGGCGCCTATACGGCTGCTGCTGTTGCTGGTTGGGTTCGGATCTGTCGTTTGGATAGACGAAGCAAAGAGGAATAGTCACGTGTAAGGAAAATTACGTGGGTACAGGCTGTCATCGAAAGTGTTCCGTGAGGAGGCGGGTAAGCACCAGCCTTGGCCATATTAGTAGAATATTAAAATTTGCTGGTACGCACCCCACGAAAATATCCGTTCGCGCTGTATTCGACACCTGTATGGGAAACGTTGGTATAATCGCAGCAGGATGGGTCGTAGGGCACCTTGCGCCGCTCGCTGCTGGTGCATCATGTGGTGTATCACGCAAATTTCTGGGATTTCAACGTAAGACCTTGCAATTGCAACAAATGGTTGAATATCTGTCTTGTTCCGCATCTGTTTCCTTGTAGAACAGGCGCTCTGCGGCTCTCTCGCCCTGCAAGAGTTGTAAGACATGCACTGATGCTGTAAACCTGCAAGAATCAAGGTACAATCAAGTTCCAATGGGCTCCAAAATCCCAACATGGGCGAGAAGACGGGGAAGGCTTCACGGATACTTCCGCGCGATGTCGTCGCAGTTTATTTTTCCCCGAGCTGACGAGTGTTGAGATCTTTTTGGTCAGTTTTTTATGTCGTGTTTTCTTCTACACGCCGCGCGTTTTACCACATGTGACGGCGGGGCGGTGCGCGCGGTCTACCGGTGCTGCAGACAGCAAATTCAGCTCATTTGTGAGGCAGCTCAACTTCTACGGCTTTCGCAAGGTTAAGTCCAACGCCTCGGGCGCAGGCGTCAACAGCAAGTGGTGGGAGTTCAAGGTGAGGAAGAAGGTATTCTAGATCAACTGTCATCACCGCGTGGAGGGAGGCGCTCGCTCCTCCTTCGAAACGAAGAATCAAATTACTACAGCAGGGGTACACGATTCACTCGCGAATGCGTTTTCACCTCTTGAAGCCCCCCAACCGGAATCCACCGGCGCCCGAAGTGTTTTTTGACAGCGTACAAACGTTTTTGGCTTGCGGCCCACTGCAGCCCCTGGGCTGAAATAGGCCGTCGGCATTCGCAGTTGCATCAATGACAGCTTATCAATGACAGCTTGAGAAATGTATCGCATATCGTCATCGCGTGGAATACTCCGCTCTTGTGCCGCTAACTCTACCCCCCTACACCCGCCCGCCCGCCCCACCCCCTCTTGGCGACGTCGCTTCAAAAACAAAAAACAACAACAGCACGATCTCTTCCACCGGGACAAGAGCCACCTCCTCGCGGACATGCGCCGCGCGACGCACTACGGCGTCGCCGCCGACAAGCAGGAGGTGGAGCACCTTAGGTCGGAGGTCACCCGCCTCCGCAGCCACATCGACGCCATGGGCGACAAGATCGGTCAACTCACGTCCCTCGTGGAGTCTCTCTCCGTCGAAGGCCACACCGGCAGCGGCGGCGATACTACCGCCGCAGGGCCCGCCGGACAACTGGCGGCGAGCCATCGCCATGGTCCGACCCCCCCACCAGGCGGGGACGAGCTCTGCGGAGTCCGGGCCGGCCTCGGGCGACTGTCGTTCGGGTTTGATGCGGCGGCGGGCGACCAAGAGGAGGACGGGGAGGACTTGCGGTTTAGCCTGCCGCCTGCGGTGCCGGCCGGCGCGTGCGGCGTCCCCGACCGGAGCGACCTCGAGGACGTAGAGGTCGGCCTCGGCGAGGCCGACCCGGCCCTCGGATCGTTCTTGCCGCTGCGCGCCCGATCTCGGAAGCGCAAGCTCGTGCGGTTCGACGGGGTCTTGGCGAACGGCGGCGGCAGCGGCGGCGGAGGCGTTGTTAAGCAAGAGGCACGAGGAGGAGGAGGAGGAGGAGGAGGAGGCCACTCGCCGGCAGTGATAAAGCAGGAGATGACGGTGAAGCAGGAGATGTTGGTCGACCCGATGGATGCCGAGAGCGAACTCGCGGGAGGTGGTGATCTTGGCGCCTTTGCGTCGGCTTCGAACTCCCCGCTGGCGGGGACGCCATCAGCGGAGTTGGTCAGCGGTTTCGGCGGGGGCGGCAGCAGCAACAGCAGCAACGAGTTTCTCCACGGCTTTGCCGATCAGTTTCTCTCCACCGAGTCGCCAACGGCGAGCTACATGTTGCCTGATGGAGAGGGTGCCGGCGACGGCGATTTCAAGGCCGCCAGCACCAGCGGCGACGTTGCGTTCTCTGGTGCTGCCACGACGGGTAATTGTACCAGCGTAGTCCAGGGCGGCGCCGGCTGCAGGGCCTGTTCTTGTGTTGCACCCGACGGTGCTTCGTTAGGCGGCCGGGGGAGCGACGGTGGCGCCGACAACGGCAGCAGCTGCTTTGGCGACGGCACTAGAAGCAGTAGACAAGCTTGCCACGCGATGGAAGAGGAATCGAATGTCGAAACCAGCGAGACGGGGCAGACGGGCGAATCATCGATACCATCGATACCATCACCACCGCCTTCGTTGTCATTGAACACTCGGAGCGGGCAGAGTGCGGTGGTGCAGATGGCGCTGCAGCAGCAACAAATACAGCAGCAGCAGCAAATACAGCAGCGGCAGCAGCAACAACAGCAGCAGCAACTGCATTCTGTAGAGGACGCCGGGGGCAAGTCGAGCGGGGCAACTGGGCCCTCACCGTTTCCACCGCCGCCACTGCGCACAGGGGAAGAGCTCAACGAGGGACTGTCGGCGCTGATGCAAAACCCCGCGCTCCTCGCAGCTCTGACGGAAAAACAACGAAGCAGCTGCAGCGGGAGCGGGAGCAACCGCAGCTCACCGACAAAAAATAGTGCACCAACTGCTGCCGCTGCTGGACCCCAAACGGCCGAAAGCGACGCGAGGGCGACTGCTACGGAGAAGGGACACACACGTCCGCGAACCCGCTCGGGAGCAGTCGCCGCCGCCGCTTCGGCCATGTCGGCGGCTTGCAGCAAAGGGGGCGGGAGTTGCGCTCCTGCTGGTGGTGCAGGAGGGGCGGCGGGGGGAGGGTGCTCGTCGGGACGGTCGCGAGGTCGCGGCGAGTTCGGGCAGCGGTTTCCGAGGTCGGAGGAGGCGTGCGCGTGAACGGCGCGGCGGATTCTAGGGGTCATCCCCATCGTCGCGTGCCGTGTGGCGCTAGTGCTTGTCTTTGTAGAAATAGCTTCGCTTGATTACAGGGTGGGGGACTGTTACTGGTCGCTCATTTTGTAGTTTTCGTTCACCACGAGACGATATTTCGGTGGCAGAATTCAAAGTTAAGCGCGCTCCTTTTTACCGTCATTTTTCCGAGAGGCTCGGAGTCAAGCGGAGGAGGTTGGTGTTGCATCCGTGCGCGAGTACATTAACTATTTGCTTTGCACATGTTTTCTCGTAATGTTTAATCAGCAGGAGAAAATTGCATCGTTTTGAGATTCGCCGTCTATTTTGTGCTTTATCTGAAAGAGAGGATGATTCTGATGTGATGCGGCAATCAGCTAGATAGATGCGTGGCGTGCAATTTGGGCGGCGTTGACAAAATAATGGTTTTCCGATTGTTCAACAACAAAAATAATCTGCAGCGCGTGTGTCGAAAGAAGGCGTGTAATCTGCCGTGCGATATGATGGTCTGTACGAGTACGAGGTGGTACACACACACTTGAGGTATGCACCTCGTTCAGGGGGAGGAATGGGCGTGGGTGGACCAATACCCGCAGCTGTCCCTGTTGCGGTCTCGTTGTTGTTGTCACCATCGGTTCTTGAGGGAAAGGAAGATGAACACGTGATTTCGATGTTGTGTCTACTCGTTTGGTCGATAAACAGCAACCAAAATAGTGGGGAGATGGTGTCCAGCTCGATGGTCAGAACGTTTTTCAATGTGAAGGCAACAACGGCAACAAGGGCATCGGTGGTTTACGCGCGCCCACGCAAAACAAGGTGTGAAACGTCGCGTGTTTTTCCGACGCCCCTTCTTCTTCCTCCTAAGAAGATGAAGGGCGGCAAGGAAACGGCACAGCCAGAGTCCACACTTGGCGGCCACGTTTTTAGGGATCTTCGTCGTAAGGTGCCATTGATAGTCGAAACGACGACAGCCACAACCCCCGGCTCTTGTCCCAATAACTACAACAACCTAACGTCGAAAACAAAAGAGTGGAAGGACCTATGCTCTCGCTCCTCGTAACCCCGTACTCTCTAACAACTTCATCGAGCGAACACCGGCGAGAGCTCATACAGCGCGACATCGGGGAAACACCCTCCCCTCCAGACAAGCCCCTCCCCCCCCCGGCAACCTTCATCATGACACCCGCCCACCCCCTCTTCCGAAAGCCTCCTGCATCTGAAGGACAGCACGCCTTCCTCGCCGCCCTCGGGGGGGCCACCCCGTCGCGACGCCTCCGCCGCGGGACCCCTCCCCCCTTCCTGTCCAAGCAGCGCGTCGAAAAACTCGCTCTCCTGCGGGTTTCGCGTCCGGTGGGCGAGGTACACGACCGCCGGCGCCGAAGGCGGCGTTGGGGAAGACCCGGCGCCTGCGGCCCCCCGTCCTCGCGCCGGCTGCCGCTGCCTCCCCCCTGCTGCGGCCAGCAGCTGTCGCAGCGACTCTAGGAGCGGCTCCCACCCCGCCGGGTCGTAGAGGAGGTCCGAGCAAATCACGACGTCGAAGCCAACCCCCCGCGAGAGGGCTGGGTGGTGCCCGACGGGCGAGCCCCAGTCGTACTCACACGCCTTTCTTTCCAAAATGCCATGAGGGAACGGCAAAGCGAAGGGGGGGTTATGGTTGGGCTTGAAATCCGACGAGGTGTCGTTCACCCAGTGTACGATACTACGCCAAGTGTACCGTACTACACCAAGTGTACGTACGATACTACACAAGAATCGGCGAGCTGACAAAACGGGTTGCCATTCTACGGTCGAGTGCGTGGGCTTGTGAGCTTGAGTTTCGGTGCTCCGGGAGAGAGTAAATAAAGTAAACAGAAGCAGCCCACAGCTTAGCTTTTACCAAACAGCGGGTGTTTCGCCACAAAAAAAACGTCTTGTCTTTGGGCGGAAAAACCACGATTGCAATAAAACCCGAAAACACGCGCACTGCATCACACGCGGTTCGTCGCGTCGCAAGCAAACACCCCCCGAGACCATGAAACACAGCATCACCACGGCTGTGGAAAGCGGACGCGCTTTGCAGGACGACCGTCACGCATCATGCCTGACGACAGGCTACACCCTGTTCGTTCATATCGCGCACCTCGACGTTCAGGGAACCCGGGCAGGAATTCCTCGCCAGGTTGAAGGTCAGCAGAGGAAGCAAGTCCTTCGTGTCCGTCGCCACCACCTCGGAAGCGCCAAGCGCCGCGCACAGGGCGGAGAGCGTTCCCGTCGCGGCGCCGAGCTCGACGACCCTCTTGCCCTCCAGGGAGGCCGGGCCCAGGGCGGCCAGGAACGCTCCCATCTTCAAGGAACAGTCCCAGACCGTGCCGAAGAACCCTCCCAGAGAGGCGGACTCCGCGGCACACACTTCGATGATCCCGTTGCCGCGTTCGTCGTCGTCGTCGTCACATGCTGTGCTGCCGCTGCCGCTGCTCGCGCTGCAGCTCGACAGGCCGCTAGTGGCGCCGTCCCCGTCACTGCCCGATACCGTTGCCGCGTTGCCAACTGGCGATGATGACAATGACGGCCATGACGAAGCAGGAGTCGTCGGCGGGGACGGCGGCGGTGGAAGTGAAATATTTATTGGCCCCCCGCAACAGTCCCCCTTGTGTTTTCTTGCCGGCGCTCCGGCGAGGTGGGAGTCTTCGACAGTCGCTCCTTCGGCTTCGTTTGCGGTAAACTTGGAGCCACTATTTTCCTCCCGCTTCTCTTCTTCTCTGATGGTCCGCCGCCCTGTATCGCGATCACCACCGCCCCGGGCCACGCCAACTTCGAATCGCAGGCGACGGACGTTGCACGCGCCGCTCCGGCCTATCACCGCTCGCTTTTGGCCTGTGGGTGTACATCAGAACAGGAGACGGGAGGGCCGATGGGAGGGAGGGGCATACTCATGTTTTGCATGCCATAGTTGTCTGACCATTGACCATACGTCTTCCTACTTTGCCCAAAGTGGCTCAATAAGTTGTCCTTATCCCATCTATCTCATTGGGGGGGGGTTCGGGGTTCGGGGCTTGCAAGGTCCGGACTATCCACACGAAATGCACGTACGACGACATCCCCGGCCGTGCGAACACACCTTCTCCTTCGAGTCTGCCGGTGGGAGGAGTTGGAGTGGCGACAGTAGGGGTAGCTCCGACGGCGGCGACATGGTAAGGAGGACTGTGGACGAGAGCGGGCAGAGACTCCAGAGGTAGTACCGGGCGATTGAACCTCCGGGCCCAGGCCGGCGAGAGGGAGATCGACAACTGTACCTCCGCCCCGGCTACCACCCCCTCCTCCCCCTCCGGCTTGCATCCGTTTTCCTCTCCGGCCGCCGCTGCCCGTGCCTGCCGACGCCGCCGACGCCGTCGCCGCTGGGCGGCCACGGCCGGGCAGGCGCAGACGGGGGTGCTATCCTCATGGTCTAGGTCTGGAGGGGTTCGGGGCTCCGTTGGCCTGCTCGATGGTAAGACAGCGACCCATCCATGCGCCGTTCCAGTCGAAAGGTCAAGGGTAAGCTGTGGTTCATGCACAACAGTGCCGGGGGCGGGGGGCGGGAGGGGGAGGGCAAGGTATTTTTGGGGGCGGGAGGGGTAAAGGAGATACAGGGGACAGTGCAGGGTTGACTACTGAACACGGAATGGGACGCACAGAGCGTTGTAGCAAGCAGGAAGCACCACGGGCAACACAGCACATAGCAAAAAGCTTCAAAAGAGGCGGCACCCGCCGTAGTTACGGAGTACAGTGCTCGACGAACAGGAAGTCATTCAATGACACAACACGCAGCTTTCTAAATCGTTTTATCGTGGCACTTCCTGTGGGTGAGAAAGTGAAAAGACACGCACCCCCTTGAAGGGCGCACATTGCCGTCCCTGGTCCGCGTGACTACTGTCGTCGTGTCTGTCTGCGCCACCCCCACCAACGCCGTCGCCTTCCTCGATGCTACTGGACACGTCCAAGAGGAACCGGCTCGCTCTCTCGCCCTCCAGGGTTACCCGAAGGGGCACGGCGCCCGTTGCCAGGCCATCGCGCGCGGAGGAGGAGCTTGGCTGCGGTTCCGCCCAGACGTGGTAGCTGTGAGGGTGCTGAACCCGAACGCCTTTGTTCCGAAAAAACCGCAAGGGCGGGCAGATGGGCCGGGTGTGACGTCATGTGGGTCGAGGAAAATTCAACCTCCGAGCCCTACAATAGCGCGACTCTACAGGCGCGGAAATGGTGTTTGGGCTGTCGAACAACCAAAGCACGCCTGCTCTCTCTGCACATCCACCCGCGATTTACCGGTACGTTCGTCGGGAGGCTGCTTTTGTGGGGTGTGTGAAAGAAGCCCCCCCCACTGTGTCACGCGCGCACCTGTTCCTACCTCCACGCGACACCCCTAGCTTGCCGCAAGCACACAAGGTACTTGGAACGACTGCGGGTGAGGTGGACGTACGTAGCGATTCGAACGCGCTCCAACGTCTGGCTCACGCTGCTGTACACTATAAATAGACTCGTGCTGCGGGAAGGGGGGGAGGGCACCAGCAGGCGAGACGCACCTGCTTCGCTCTCAAGGGCAACGGTTACCGCCACGGGCTCCCCGAGCGTCCAGTGGGCTACGATACAGTACGCGGTCGGTGGCGGCGGTGGGGGGAGAAGAAGGACGGGGAAGGAATTTGTCAGATTCGACCGCAGTCGATAGACCACAGGCCTTGGCATCCCTATCGCGAAAAAAAAGGGGAATCGCCGCGGGGGAAGGGTATTCAGCAAAGCACCATGGCGGGTGCGGTGCATCGCGAGATCCACTTGTGAGGCGGACTTTGATGACAATACCGCTGTGCGGCTATGTACCTTCTTGTGCGAGGGACAGTTTCCTCCATGACGCGATAGTCTTCCCGCGGGCTTGGTTGGCAATTCCAGAGACAGCTGTGGGAAGTCCATGCCGCTACTTATAACGGGTGCTGGGGACAAAAAACATACAGAACAAAAAGAACAGTTTGTGCGGGCTGAATTTAACGGTTACCCTCCTAGTGCGGAGATGGAGTCCTTTACAGCGCACACGCTATCATCTAACCCAGTCGCCATTCACTCCCCATGTTCGCAGCCAAAAGGGCAAGCCACGCCATACCGGTACACACCACATTTTACGTGCGGAGCGCACACATCGGAAAGGTTATTTCTTCGGGCTTTCTGAGACGATCTTGCCGGGAGAATGTCGATATTATGCCATGCAACGGCAACCGGCGGGGTTCTGAACTAGAGTAGGGGACACACATCAGACTATAAAACTCACCAACATTAGAGTAGGATGCAATGAGCACAACGAGGAAAGTCGGCCGCGAGCGTGCGGGAGAACGAGAGAGCAGTGCTACAGCATCGCGGTGCTGCGTGTTGCGCAAGGTTTTTCCACTTGTAGCATGTTTTGCGGACATGGGGTTACGTACAGTAAAAATGTCAGGTGAAACCAGCAGTACTTGTAGCCGCCTTGGGCAGCGCCTATGCCGACTTGAGGCTTTCGACTTTTCTGTTTCTTTGAGCAAAACATTTTCGTTGTTTTAGTTGGTGGTGATGCTGGTGGTGGTGGCGGCGATACTGGGTTCACCTGATAATACCATTTGTTTCAGGGACTTCCTCCTCGTCCGTCGCTCTCAAGAAATAAGAAGAATAAAACATAGTACTCCGCTCAGGGTACAACATGACAACAACATGAAATGCTTCATAGTAGTATACAGTGCCCTGAATAAATCCACAACAACTCGGGGGAACTACAAATACATCACCAGGTGTGTGTGCGTCGACACGCACAGAGACGGAGTCTTAGTTCCCGTGATTTATGTAGCGCAACGACCATTGTTGCCCTACAGGTATGCTACATGCATACCCTGCTGTTTGTGATCGATCCACTTGTCCGAAAACCCAACATAGATCCATTCTTGAACTTGCTACGGCTGGTTCTCCTGCTGCTGCTGATCTAACAGCAGCAGCAGCTGGCACAGCAACATGCGCCAACATGACAGCCACTGCATCGCCTCACCAGCAGCAGCCACACGCCCTTCAAGCGCGCGGCAGCAGCGGTTCAACTCTACAAGCAGGTCAACTCTACAAGCAGTGTTATCATCACACCCCCTTTGTATCACACACCCTCATCACCCCCAAACACACCCTGTGGGTGTTCGGACGTGCTACCACACCCCCTGGTTTATCACACCCCCTTAGGGACGGACCTCTGCAAGCTGCACTTTATCACCCGGGCTACATAAGATACCACACACCCTAGGATACCACACCCGGTGACAATATTATTGAAGCCCAACATGTCATCACCGGGGTGTGTTATCTTGTGTCGTCTATGGTATACATACTGTCAGATAGTGGTGGGGGAATAGTATCTTGCAGACGCCAACGGTCACTTGTCACGTACCGCACACACACAAAGCAACATCGACACAAGACCACACGCCACCCCCGCTGCCCGACTGCCCGAAAGTTTACGATTGCGCCGCCTCTCGGTACACTGCAGTGCTTTTGTGCTTTTCGACTTTTGACCCGCACCCAAAAAGTTCCCTCTTTACCTGGGAGATCGCTGCGGAAGCAAAGTCTCAAGCTCTCGCAAGGTGCCAACAAGTTCCTCGTCATGCTGGAGCGCGTACGTGTGAGAGTCCATGACACTTTCTGAAAAGGCTCGTATCTATCTCTATTTTTTTTTTCGCGCATAGAAAAAAGCCTCGAGAACCTTGAAAACCCGGCTTCTGGAACAATCGCCTCAGCTGATCGGGCTAATCGGGCCAATCGGTTTCGAAGGTTCGAACGTTCACCAGTAGCAGCAGTGTCGTCCACAGCAGTACATTAGTCCAACAACCTCCCCCCCATACACACAACAACCGCTGGGAGAGGGAGAGAGAGACAAAACCTTTGCACAGCATCCACAAGACCAGATGGGGAAGAACTACTATGACGTGTTGGGGGTGCCCAAGGGCACATCGGATGCCGCGAAGATCAAGAAAGCCTACCGGAAGCTCGCTCTCCGGTTTCATCCAGACAAGCCAACGGGCGATACAGCCAAGTTCCAAGGTATGTAACCTAACTTGCTGCAAGCACACGTGGTTTCTGTCCGAGCTACTGGGGGTTTGGGTGCTCGTCACGGTAGTGCCCTGTGCTACCAAAGGGCGGTGGACCTTTTCTTTCCCTCGAGCCTCCGTGCGCGTTGCTTGCGTGGTGTGCTACACATCAGAGGGTACTTACAGCAGCACTGCTGTAGACTAAATACTGCTGTAGTTGCACGTCTCCCTTCTAGAAAGTCTCTTTGATTTCTAAATACAAACTAACCGAGTCGACCTCCCGCCGTGGGTGCGCCCTGCTTGCTGTTTTCCCCCGTGGTCACACCCCAGAAATCAGCGAGGCCTTCGAAGTGCTGGGCGACGACAAGAAGAAGAAGCTGTATGACCAGTTCGGCGAGGCTGGCCTAGGTCCAGGCGTTGGCGGGGGAGGCGGAGGGTCTTCGGAGGAAAGCGGCATGCCCTTCACGCGGTCGCGCGGAGCCTCGCCGTTCGGTGGCGGCGGGGGAGGGACTCACCAGACCTTTTCGTTCAGCACGGGCGGCGGCGGCGGCGGCGGAGGGTTCCACGGGAGCGACCCTTTCAGCATTTTCGAGTCCATGTTCGGCACCGGAGACATCAACGAAGGTGTGGTGGGTGGGTGTGATGCTCTTTGTCAGGCTCGGGTGTGTGCTTTGCTTCAACAAAACGTTCCTGTTGGTTGATGCCGATTCTGTCCTATGTTTCCTCTTCTCCCGCCACCCACGGTGAGTCGCGGGTGTACCTTAGGACTTGTTCCGCTTGAAATGGTGCGATAAGTCAGGCACGCACTCGGTGGCGGCTGCAAGTGCGTCGTGCGTTTTGTCCGAACTTTCGTCGTCCATGCTTCTACTATACCCAACGCGATAATTTGAAATAGAGCCAGCACGCATGATCATCATGTACGTTTCTCCTCGCTACCGCACACCTGCAGGCCACACATGACCTAAGTCTATTGCTATAGTTACGAAACTGCCAAGCGACACGATCGCAGCCGCTGCTGCTCTGAGTGCAAGGAGTGCGAGCACCTATGAGACTCCGGCCGGCAATGATCACTCAGTAACTGCTGTATTTCGAAGTTGTGTTCCCATGGTGTAATAATACATGAGCTGAACTTCAAATCGTACAATACACTCTGTCAGCACATCCACAAGCTATGAAAGGCAAATAGGGGGTACTATGGTCACCCGTCAATGCGTTGGGCGACGTAGGGTAGGAGGTGGACACTTGATGTCCTCCTGTATCTGTGCGATTTCATCAACCCCTATCCATTAGACGTATTGTATTGGGTGCACATCGGAGGAGGGGGGGGTGGGGGCAGACAAATGCTCGAAGTTGTCGTACCCACAAGCTCGAGAGCTGAAACTCCGGAGAAGCACTCAAACGATGCGAAAATTCCCCAATGTTCATGGGCATTACATCTATACAAGCAACCGGCCGACTGCCTATTTCGCCAACGTCGCGCTCTTTGTGTAGCAAGGTGTTTGGCTTCTTACCGACACTTGTGCAACGAGGGGTCACTTGTGCAACGAGGGGTCAACATATTCAGGCAACCCGGTGTATTCAAATCCCTTGTTGTGTTGATGTTGTTGCTGCTCTGCTCTGTTTCGTTTTTCGGTTGCGGTTGTCGTAGATTCTGACCAGTTGATCTAGTCCGCCACTTTTTTTTTTTTTCCCTGTCCGCCCCTTCCTCCCCATGCAAATCTCCCCCTATTTCAATGAAATGTCATGTTCCGTGACATACTACTGACCGACAACTTTCACACCTTTACACCCACCCACTGCCGTATTATTTCCCCGCAAACGGAAATCGACCATGCATAACTCAGCCGTCGGCCGAGAGGGTTTCCCGATGGGGGCGGGCTTGAACGGGATGCGAATGGGCGGCATGGGTGGTGGCTTCGGTGGAGGCATGCCGGCGGCAGGCTCTTCTTCCCCTCCAAAGGCGGCGAGGCGCCAGGCGCCGCCGGTGGAGCACTGCCTGAACCTGTCGCTGGAGGAGCTGTACCAGGGGTCCTCGAAGCGGATGAGAATCACCAAGAAGGTGAGAGGTGTCATGTCATGTGATGTATTGTGATGTGGTATGGTGCAGCAGTATGGTAGCTAAGGTGATTTTTGTTTTTTGGGGGGTGGGTGAGGGAAGGAAGCAGCTTGCCATTTCTCATGTCGACGTTAGCCGCGCCGACATGCTGAGCTCTGAAAAGGACTTGAATTTTAGCGGGGAAGTAAAACGCCCCAAATAATTTTTTGTACCCGGACTTCCTTCCTCCCGGTGTGTGTTGTGTAATAAATATATTTTCTTGTGTTTCCATGACTACACATACATGCGTGAGTTCTCGGGGCTTGGCCCTTCGTTCTCTTCGCGTGGGCGTGCTTTTGGGTCCTTCCTCCGTTGGTTTTTCATATTATTTACCAGCAATTTGAAGGTGCTGTGCTGTGCTGTGCAGTCGCCCTTCTTGTTATTGGGTGCTGCTTCTGTCTCCGTCTCTGTCTCTGGCCACCCGGGCCTGGGCGTCGCCTCACCTGTTATTTTTGTCGAGCTGTCTCGGTCCCGCACAAGTGGGGCTCCTATCTGGTTGTCTATCTGGAGCTGTTCCCCCAACGGTATTGTGTTCTTGTTGAATATGTTGTGGTTGAACGGATGGTCCGTTTCTCACTATGCTCTTGTTGAACGGATAGTTGTTTTCTCTCACCGACCGAACGGTAGCACCATTTTCTCATTCACCCAACAGACTGCTACCGCTTTAGGGTACTGTAGAAGCGAGATGAACCGACGACACCCCTTACGCCGCTTGTCAGCAGGTGCCGACTCTCTCATTCCTCCCTGCCCTCCGTGTTTCTCCTTCCGTTTTCCGACTAAAAAACAATTGATACGATCGAATGAACGAACGAACCGGCCGCTTGGGGTGATGACGGCAGACCTCAACCGGGGAGGCGCAAGTCGACAAGACGATCACCATCAAGCCCGGCTGGAAGAATGGGACGAAGATCACCTACAAGCAGGAGGGCGACGAGCAACCAGGCATGCTCCCGGCCGGTGGGTGTTTTTCTTCCGTTTGTAGGCGTTTTTTTCTTCTCTTTTTTTTTAATCAGCCTCGATTGCAGCGAAATCGCGTGCTGCTGTGCAAGGGGTGTGTGTTTGACCTCCGTTGGGCTTTTTAGAGCGTCGTCGGAAATGCGGCTTTCCGTACATGTGTTGGTAGCGTCTGCGCATCGATCAGCCTTTTCTTTGTGACGTGCTCGGCTTGTGTCTTGATGTTTTCGGATTGAAAGCGTTTGGCCCCGTCGGAGGCACGCGCGGTCGGCGCCCTCCCCTCCCTTCCCAAATGTTTGTTGACTCCGGCGCTGTCTAGATATGCTGGGTTCATTCAGTCACGGGGATTCAAAACGTTGCAGGGTACGCCATGGTAACTTTTTCTCGTCCCTTTCGCGCGGGTTTTTACTTAGTGTGCGTCCCCCCGTGCGTCGAAATCTCATCCCACTTGTTTTGGCCCGGCAGATATTGTATTCGTGATCAAGACCAAGCCTCACCCCAGGTTCACGAGGGAGGACCATGACCTCATCTGCACCGTCATCATAACGCTGGAGCAGGCGTTGACAGGTGGGTGGGTGCAAACAAGGCTACTTGTGCCGTCTGCATGGTTGCTATGGTCAATGTGTTGTGGTGCGCAGCATGGATGGAAAAAAAAAAAAAAGAACACGCACACACGCGGCGGTTTGGCGGTAAGACTCATGTCCTTTCGTAGGCCGGTCGATTCAAGCGGTATCATAGATGCTGTTGAAAGAAATACGCGCGCACACACACACGTGCGCCCCAAACGTTCGTTTGCACTTTCTATTTTTTGAGAGTTTTTCAAAGGTGCTTGCATATTAGCAACCAAGCTGCGCCTTGTTTTCCTCGAAAAGTAGGGATTTTCGTTGCGCGTAGATCTGACGTGCGTATAACTCGTGCAAGGCGTGCGAGTGGGTCGTGGCAAACGCACATGCGTTTGCACCGCTGTGAGGTACACGAGCATGCGACTTTTCCACTTTCCACGCTCCCTCACGTGCATTGATGAACGAACGAACCAACCAAAGGACCTAACCGAATGTAACCGGCGAATCAATCGGTGCACTTGCAGGCTTCACTATCCCGATCGACACCCTCGACGGTAGAAAGGTCATGGTTACGGAGCCGGGCCTCTCGACGTCCTCCCAGGAGACCGTGGTCCGGGGAGAGGGGATGCCGTCCCAGAAGGACCAACGAGTACGAGGGAACCTCACCGTCAGGTACGTTTGTGTTTGATGCTTCTTCTGCGGAAAAGGTTTTGCCGAATTGAAGAGCCAGCCTTAGACGATGGCGGGCGTGTTTTGCATGAAAGCGGGGCAGGTCTAGTCGGTGACAGCAGCGAAGCGAGTTAGCCCCCCGCCCTTTGGGAGACGGTAGTCGTGTGGAAACGGGCGGGCGAATTGGCGGAGACGTGCACATCGTTTGTAGTCTCGTCGGGTGTAGTGGTATGCTACAGTATCGGGCAAGAGGGGGTAAGCCAAGAGCGTGCTGTCGGTTTGGCTCCTTACCGTGTAGCGTCGCCCTGCTCCTCGGTGTTGTCCGAACAGCTGCTGCTGCTGCCGACCCTCGGCACTGCTGTCTGTAGGTGACTCTTTTCCCTCGAGTTCTTGGTAGTTCATTGGCTTGTCGTTGCTGCGGGGGTGGAACGGGATCTAATACCGCACTTGTGCTTTACTAACAGCGAATCGCACACCCCCTTTGAAAGAGTTTAATGTTTGGTTGCTCCACAACCGAGAGGTCACGACTGCTTAAAAGGGCGGTTTCGAAAACGATGTCGTCGAGATTCCTTAGACCTATCGGTCGGTTTTTGACAGCACCCTCTTGATTGTGGGGCAATCAAGCTGTATGAAAGTCGGGTCTAGGTGGGGTGCGATCATCTGCACAACCACGGTAGTCCTGGTTCCTTATCCTGGCTGAGATCCAGTTTCATCCCGCTTAGGTCCTGTTTTGTGTGCAGGTCAAGCACCAAAGCACCACCAAACCCTATCTGAGTAATTCAACGTTCAAGTCGCACTCTCTCTCGCCCACCCGTTCCCCCTGATCGCTATTTTGAATCTTCTCTGGGGTCGTTTTTCACCGTACCCCCCCCCCCCTCACGCGCCTCTTCGCCACGTCCGCTGAACAGATACAGAGTCGAGTTCCCACTACCGGCGAAGACAGAGGCCGAGAAAAGACGGCGCCGCCAAGCAGTCGAGAGCATGTGAAAATGCTTTGTAGCAGCTAGATCCCATGCGTGTTTTGTTCTTCAAGTTCGCCATGTATATGTAAAAATAACCTTGTTTACTGGGGGGGTGGGGGGTAGGACCTCGGCGGACGTGCGGCGGTCGCGTGCTCTTCACGATGGAGCAGAATTCCTGTTGCCGACTACACATGGCTGTGGGTATGTAGCATGAGTGTCGCGCGCGTAGGCAGTGTGTTGGAGACAGACGCAGGTTGTTTGTTGCTGCTGTTGTGCTAGTGGAAAAACTGCCTGGGCACTACTATTTAATAGGATCCCGCGCTGGACTCGTAGCATAGCAGGGGCCGCGTCGTGTGGGACGTCATGGACATGTATATATTTTTGAAGCTGTGTCATGCCATTGACGTGACGTGTTGATCGTCGAGCTCCTTTCGTTGAGACTCGGATATTTCAACGAGAGTTGTCTGTCGGTTTATTTCATTTTTTTGTGATGATGTAGAAGGAAACGATTACTTGATTACTTGTATAATATTGATAATGATAGTAGCGTCTGCAATGAATGTGAGCACCCAGCAGCACACCGGGGTCTGTCTATCTATCTACCAGCCGGCAGTGAAATGCCTAGGTGCGAGGGCGGCACGACCGTCTCGAAGTTTCTCGTCAACCCTGGCTCTCGCGCCTGGGACAGTAACAACACGACAACATTTTGCTGCTGCTATGCATCTGCTCGCCCGAGCTGTGATTTGGGATGACGGCACAAGCGCATGGGCTTGGTATCGACGCAAGCGTGCACAGCAGTGCTGTTTCGTACCACAGTACATGCCGCGCACCGCCGCAGGGCTGTTCGTCGGATTGTCGCCGGCGAACACGCGTGAGGCATGTGGATGCCGAGACTCGTAGCGATGATGCACATTGAGTACCAGCGCTTTGTCCTTTCGGCGATGGGGTCCAACCGGTACGCTTGAGGCGTTTACTTCCTGCCGAACGGACGGGTGCATTCTGCATTGTCATTATGTTGTTCGATGCCGACCGAAGCAAGAGGGCTTTCGAACGTAAACAAGACCAAGCTTCGATGCAAGCCCCCGAAAAAAAAACGTATGCTTCACCGCAGATCCCCTGTGCGGTTCCGTCGCACGGATCAGAGAACCATCGGTTGGACAAGAAGGCGGCTGGTGCTCCTTGCCTGAAAAATATTTTTACACCTGCGCCCAAATATATGTATCTACCATGGGTACGTGGACTCCTACAATTAGTCCTCTGTACACCAAGGACAACGACAAGGACACTACCAACAATAACGCCACCAACGACATTAGCACAGTGCCCATCCCCACCCACGACGCGACTGCACACCAAACAACGTGTTGCCCCTCTCATGTACGAGAACAAAATTCATCAGATCAGCGACAATAGAAAAATGTGTGGTCGGGGGGTGGTAATAGAAGACGACAGTGGCGGGGGGGTCGCACGGACGGCGGAATTGACGAGACCCGTGACGGTAGAAGGATCTCTCTCTCTCTCTCGTTCTCTCCTACAGGCGGCCGTGCGAGATGTTGACGATATGGGGGTAGGCCACGGACGTAAGGAAGTCGTCCAGCTCGGGCGCGGTCATCATGTTCGCTGTCAGCCGCCCAGCCAGGCGAAACTTGCCGCCGCCGTCGCCGCCGGAGGCGGATAGGAGTTTGTGGGTGGCCCTCTCCGCGATATCTTGCACGAGGCGAGGGGTAATCTCGATGCCGTCGGACGTGGAGGCGCCGTGGTGGACCCATTGCCAGACCTTTAGTTCGGAATGATGGTACACCCGCATGCGGAGGCCAAAAAAAAAACGAGTGTGCGCACGCCGGCAATCAGTATCAGCGAGTGAGTGATGAGGCCACCGTTTAATTTGTATTATTTTGTTGCATATGAACATCCGGGGTATGTATGCACCAAAGCAACCAACAGCTATCAATATGATTGGGTGCGTGAGGCTAGGTCGCTAGCGTGTCGACCAATGGGAGGAGTGGGTCAGAATAGGGACAGGGGGGGGGGGGGGGGGGGGGGGGCCCCC